ACCAGAGAAGGGAAAAACTGGAAGTGTGTACTTGTGTCTCAACTGATTCATCCTGAAGTTGTTTATTCTGGCCCACTGTCAAGTCTTTATAAGGGGGGTGTTGGTGGCAGAAAGGATTGGTCCTAAGGGTTGTATGAGTGCCTTCTACTCAGCTAATTTCTGTGCTGTTGAACAGCCATTCAAAGCGTATTATTTTTCCTTGAAGCCGAGAAAGTATCTATACAAGCATTCCTTTGAAAGTGCAATTAACTTTTATAACAATTTGTGCTTTAGTTTAAGAATTGCAGATGTTGTGTGGGTGGTGGGGGGTGAGGGGGTGGGAAGGAGAGGATGAAGGAGTAAGGATATAGATGCCTCCCACTTGGAAAATGTGGTAACACTTCCTTTCGTGGAAAAAACGCATCGATTTTTAGAATTACTAAAACATTTACATGGTTGGTGAAACAACTGGGAAGGCCGTGGTGTTTGGTTTGGGGGAGGCTGGACTGGATCATCTCCCAGCTTCCTCTCCTTCCTAATGAGACCCAGATCTTTGGGACAGGATTATCTGGAATTGTGATTTTATGCTTGGAAACAGTCCAAAGGTTGGGTAGCAGAGCCCGGCCACTCATCAAAAATGCTAGCTCAATTTGCAAAAGAAATACAAAACCCAAAATGTCACATCACCATCGGGATGTAACTATTGATGTGTGCGGGTCAGAGGAGCTCTTATTAACTAGACCGTACATCAGTTTTCACTAGGGAATGTTTTTCACTATTAGAAATATACTTGCACTGCCCCCAAGTCTATTCCTTATTATTTAGTGTTAGTTTGAGGTTAAGTGGGAGTGTTTGGGTTTCACTGAATGTTTGTGGCTATTTCATACTATGGTATGATCCTTAGGAAACTTTCTACCTCAAAATCCACACTACTTTTTGTATAATGAATATCTCACTCATCCCCGACAAACAAAATAACATTTATAAAATGCTTTATAGTTTGCATTTGCTAATAATCTAGAGTTTCTAATTCATGTATACCCAGTACTTAAACTATTAACAGAAATCAACCTAATAAGGAAACTATTGAGATTCAGTCCCACTAGAATTAAGTCCCTTTGTATATGTGTGACTTCTATGAAAGTAGCTAGTCAAAGGCAGTGCAGGAACATTTCCCTCCCCGTCACTGGTGTGTGGGGATGAGGTGTGCAGTGGGGGCATCTGGCATGGTCTTTGAATGCATGGGTCCCAACTTCACATGCCTGTGTTTGCACACAGCTCTGCCAACACTAGTGGGGTCCCCTTGGGCAAATGACTTATCTTTACTAGCTTCACTGTCCTTGTCTGTTAAATGGGAGTAGAAGAATGCCTCCCTCGTGGTTTGTTGCAAGGATTAAATTGTTAATATTTGCACAACACCCAGAAGAGCGTCTAGGTCATGTAGGTGGTTGCTGTTGTCATCGTCCTTTTAGGATTAGTGTGTGCAAAAATGAGCAGTCTTGGGACATGGCATTGACTGGAACCAATGCTGTTCCTGCCCTCAGGAAGCTTACCATCCAGTGGGGAGACAGACATTCACCGAATCATCACAGCATCGCAACTGTGATTATGCCATGGGGATGATCTAAGAGTGCAGAAACCTGACCTGGTCTGAGAGGTTCTCGAGGGGTTCCTTGAGGAAGCAGTTCAGCTGGGCTTCTAAGGACAAGCAGGGCCCCGCCACATGTGGGGAAGAGTTGGGGGAAGGGGACCTTCCTGGCAGGGTAGGAGGAGAGGGATTGTGAAAGGCTGCCTGGCTGGACAGAGCCTAGCAGAGATTAAGCTGAGAGTGTGAGGGGAAGTGGGAGGGAGAGGTTCCTGCTGCAAGGCTTGTAAGGACTTTAGATTTCATTTGAAAGGCACTGAAAAGCCACTGACAGATTTCAAACAAGGAGGAACATGTGCAGATGTATGTTTTTAAGAATGCTTCTGCTTTTTGGAGGGGGTCCTAGATGGCACCCAGAAGTGGGCATGTTTGTGAAAGCACAATGCGAGGGGCCCTGTAGTGGTGGAGCTGCTCTGGACTTCGCCTGTGTCAATGTCTCATCCTGGCTGTGATGCTGCAAGACATCTCCGTGGGGAAAGCTGGTACGCTGGATTTCTCTGCATCATTTCTTACAGCTAGTATGTGTGAATCTATACTTTTCTCAAAACAGACAGTTTAATTACATAACTTCTTGAGATGTACAAACTGTAGGGCAGAGCTCTTGCAAAGAAATATCATCCTTAGGTATGTATTAGCTTTATGGGAGGAGCTGGCACCCCAAAGCTGGAGCACCCAGTGCTGTTGAAAATAAGCCTGGCTTCTGGCAGTGCCCTGGTGACAGGTGACTCTTTTTCTCTAACTGAGATAAATGGAGTTAGCCACAATAGCTTGTAATTTTCAAATAGTATGATTTTTTTTTCTTATAAAGATAGAAGCCATTACTTTTTAAAGCATGTGGTTTCAATGGTGCATACTCGACTTATGACTAAGAATTAGTTTTCTCAATCCCATGTTGCACCTTTTAGTATTAAATAATCTCCTTCTCCCAACTTAAAACAAAAACACAAAAACAGATCTCACTGCCACGTGGAGAAGGCCCCATTAGGCCTCCAGGGAGTGTGGAGAGACCCCTAGGAGGCGACAGCAGAGCCTGGGATCCCACCACTCAGAGCTCATCTGCAGCACAGCAGCAGGGGCATCCCTGGGAGCCTGCTGGAAATGCAGCCCGAGCCCATCCCAGATTTGCTGAATCAACATCTGCACTCTATTAAGGTTCCCAGGTGACGCTCATGTATGCTGAGCTTTGCAAAACAGTGCACCAGGGAGATGGCAGGGTGAAGGGGCACAATGGACCCCCCAACAGCAGTTAAACAGGGTGAATCAACAGACTTGGGGATGGCTTAGCTACAGAAAGATAGAAGAGAGTGGCATCAAGCAGTTGTTGACATCTCCAGGTCAGAATCGGGAATGTTCGAGTGGATATGGTAGTAGGAGCATCGGAGGCTCAGGTTTACAGACTGTGAGTTTGGTCTGGAGTGAGGCATGTGGGGCAGCCAGGCTGAGATAGCGTCTGGTCTTTCGGTTAGAGGAAATCAAGGCACCCAATGGATGATCAGAAGGGAACAGATCCTGACTGTTGTCATCTTGGCTGGAATCCAGTTGAATTGCCCCCGAGGGATCCATCCTTTGGGTCAGTTATGCCCCATCTAAACTTGCAGATGATGATAATGTAGATTTCATGAAAATCCTAAGATCCACAACTATTAGTATAAAGCCCTCTACAGTTTTTCAACCATAAGTTGCAATCAAAGAATATCATAAACCCCAGCATGGTTTTTAAATTTGTAATTTTGAAAATCTGAAAATTTAAGAACTGAGTTAAGCAAGTCTCCAAGCCTTGGCCCAGGTTTGTTCATTTTTCATTTTGAATAATTTAGTCAATTTCATGGTCAAAATACCTCTACAAAAACCTGGTAGAAATTTGAAATATACTGATATCAATAAAACATGTTGGAACAAAGGTTTTAGATTTGATTGAGGTAGTATGGAATGTCATAGGGACATTTTCTGCCAATAGCACTGGGAAATATATCAAGTCTGAACATTTTAAAACCATGACTGATAGGCAGCAAAGCTTTTTCCTATAATTTAAGCTATGGCTTTCTTGTTCATATCCCTATTTCTTTATGCACTTTCTCTAACTAGACTCTAGAACTACATGCATACATTAATATACACACACTCATCAAGCACACATGTACATTCACACTTTTATGTGCATACACACATGCTTGCAAACTGATGCATAAAACACACATACAAGTACAGAATATATGCCCACACATGTATACACACTTACTTGCACACACATGCACACACACAAACATCCACACGTTAATGCACTAACACATTAATGCACACACACATGCATTAATGCAATGCAGGCACATGCAGGCACATACACATGCACACACACACAGAGCTTTAATTCTAGTTTGAGTTAAGAAAACTTGCTGCTCTAGTCTTTTATTACTCTCCCCTGCTGCTTGATCCCTCTAGGTTTCTTCTCCTCTAGGCTTTCCCCCTCATAAACTATCTCTTAGATTTGAATTGACATTCATATCCGTAAGATGTTGTAGCTCTAGACCTCCTCTTGCAAAGCCTCCTGCAATAAGGCATATGATAAATGTGAGATGGAGATCCTCAGGCTGCTGCCCACAGTTACTTATGTGCACCAGTAGACTCTGAAGACATTTCATAAGGAGGTGCACTTAGCTATGAAGAAATACATTTCCTACAGACGCCATACCAAAAAGGAAGACCAAAAAAGAGAAAAATATATCCTTTCTGGGACACATAATCTGAAAGAGAGATATGAAGTATTTTTAGTTAAGTTTTCTTTATATTTATTTGTAAAAGGAATGACATATCAATTACTATAAGCAAGTAAAATTTGCAAATTAATTTCTTAATTGATTGCATAGATATTTGTTTCAAAGAATGACTCTTTAATCACCTGGCTTTGACCACAATATCACCACAATTCCTCGAGTTAATTTGAAACTTACTAGGTTGCACCAGGAAAGGTTATAATCACATATCACATTTTCTTCTCCCAGACACGACATTTAAGATACGACCTGATAAAATAAAGGTAATTAGGTAGATGATTTTCAGTATCTTCTATAGCAAGCCTGTAGACGAAAAAGGAATTCCTGACCTAGTCTTGTTGATTTTTTTCTTACTACAAACTAGCCTGGTCACCCTTCTAAAATATCCCACCATGTGAATTATTTTGATGAGATCTTTGCATTGAAGGTTGCACTGTACTAGTGTAAACCACTAATTAATTATTCAATTCATCAATTAATCAGCTATATACTGAATACAAGACACTGCACACTGGCGCCAGCACTGAAGGAACTCAGTCAAATGGCAGAAAAGCAAGTCAGCCATTACTCCACAATGTGACAGATGCTGTGGCGGCAATACTCACATGACATGGTGGGAAAGAAGTTGAGGCAGCTGCTACTTTTCGGCTAAGAGGGGATGAGGGTCACCTCATCAGACTGAACAACTAAGAAAAGTGTCCCAGAGGATCTGATGCTTGAGTTGTCCTGTGAAGGATGGCTTGGAGGTGGGCAGAGGAGAAAAGGGGAGAAAGGGGAAAGGGAACAGAGAGTGAGAAGGCACAGAGAGGGGAGGCCGTAGGAAGAGTCTCACGTCTGTGAGAGAGTGAGGATCCCGTGCAGGTTGGAATAGCTCCTGCCAAAAGTGAGTGGAGCTCAGAAGGGCAGGAATGCGCAGGCCAGTGGGGGCAGGAGGCTGTGCATTTCTTCAGCAGCACACAGCATGGCTGTGTGGTTCCCCCACTGCTGCCAGCAGCCCAGTGAGGACACACGCTGCACCGTCCCAGGCATGGACTTCGCAGGTTCGGCAGTAAGAGGGGAGTAAGGGAACACTAATGATGTGACGCTGTGTCATGCAGGTTGGACAAAAAGAGGGAGTGAGACCAGAGGGGAGCTGCCAGGTGAAAAATCACATTGCCAAAGGCCAAGGTCAATGGAGGACTAGAGTGCTCCATGAGCAAGGCTGAGAGTGCTGGGAAGACAGGAGGTCAGAGAGAAATGTGGCCCTGAAGACTGCAGAGGTAGAGCCTTCCCCGTTATGGTGGGGTTGCAGGGGCTCCTAGAGAGCAGATCTCTTCAGTGAATTGCCTTGTTGCACAAAGATTATCTAAATAAATTGTTATCATTTCCTTCCAGAAGTGGGCTCAGATCTCCCCTCCAAGTCCTTTTTGGATAGTGAAGAATCAGTAAAGAGCCCCTAATGCAGATTAAAGAGAGATGCCCAGATCCACTGGACTGAACTGGGCAGCAGGGAACTACCGTTGAAGAACAGGCCCCATTCCCTGTTCTTCAACAGCTCCATTCCCAGTCAGGGTCACCGTCACACAGAGGCCATATATATTTGATAAATGACTGAATTAATTATGGTACAAACTTGACTGCATCACTTAAATGCTTTTCTATTCCGGTAAGAGGAAGTTCTTCTAATATTAACTTCAGTTTAGTGGAAGTTACCCAGGGAAGCTCAGTAATCCAAAATAGAAGACAAAGCCATCCATTACGTGGCAGAGTGCTGTGTGTCTAGGGGTCTGTTTCTTACGGTGATCCTCTGAACCAGGAGTTCAAACGGAGAGAATGCAACTGTAGTGGTGGTGGCTGGGCAGAAGGCTGAGAGGGAGACAGAGCGGAAGACAGCACATTCACGCTGCTGGCTACTAGGACAAATGACAACTCTCGAAGGACAGTACCTCACATTCCTCTCATCACAGAAAATGAGAAGGTGTGTAGGACATTCTTTTAATGGCTGAACTCTTACCTAAGAAGGGCAACACAGAATGCCACTGAAATGCCATATGATATCTGTCAGAGGCATGGTGCTCCCATTGACTCCTCCTCTGTTGAAATGGATTCTGAAAGAGCAGCGGCAATGAGAGAAGAGAGTCGCCTTTTCCTGGGGATGTCTGCCAAAAAAGGTTTACCTTCTCTTCCATGTCGGAGTTTTATCCCTCAATCTATGTATGGTTGTAAGCAGCTAAGCATTCAGAAGTTTGGATTGTATGGACTTTCTGAAGAGGACAGTGTGAGGAGCTCTTGTGTTCATACTAAATCAGAGACTTCATCCCTGCACAGTCTGACACACTTCCCTGTGTTGTAAGACTTGGATTTAGTTCATGGAATCTTCCAGGCTTTCAAAACAGATGACCTCTCACTAGAAGATCCACTTATCTCTTTCCCCTTGGCCCTGTAAACCAGCCCAGCAAAGTCCCAACTTGCAACAAACAGGCAATTCACTCTACCAGAAAACAGTTACCTAATCTCTCAAAAATGACACCTGGCCAGTTTCTAACCATAATGCCTTTGGACTCATTTCCATCAACATGTCTTCCTATGAGCAATATTAACAATGCCTTTACATCTGTAGGCACTGTAACTAGTGGAGAATACAATAAAATAATAGGAATATGCAGCCTGATGAATGCCATCCACTCCAAACCAGTGTTATGAGATGTGTGAACAACGTTCCCAGGAGAACTAATCTGTTCACCATTCAGCAAGTGCTCACTGAGCCCCGGATGCGTGCCAGGCCCTGTGTGTGCTGTGGAGATACTAACAGTATCTGCCTGGATGGAGGTGACAGTCTAGGAAGGGGGATAGATGTTAAATACACAGGTGAATATTTCTCCCACCACCACCCATTGGCTGATATAAAAGGAAAATGGGAGATGCTTTGCAGATGGTTCATTTCCATGTAAACATTCTTGTGGTTGTAATACATTGCTTTCTCTACTAATGGGAATAACTTTCAAATGAAAAAAATGGAGTGATTATTTGTCAAACCAAAGTGTTTTCTTCATTATTAATAAAATTGCTGAACATCTGTTTAGTAAGTGAAGTCATTCACACTGGGTACCAGGAAGTGGAGATAGTCACACATCAGCCCTCTTGGGCCTTCCATGTGTAGGTGAATGAAAAGGAGCCACGAGGGTGGTTGGCGTCCCTGAGCATTGGAGAGCAGGCTGCGTAGAGTGCTCTTGGTCATCCTGTCTGCAGTCCTCCTGCCAGGGAGGGTGGCACCTGATCACAGAGAGACACAGCAATACAACAGAAACACTGAAAAAGAGTAGCCTGTCCTGGCCCACGTCAGCGGCCTTGGGTCCATCCAGGTTTGTAAGAAACAGGAAGGTTTTCACTTGTATCTAGCTACCCAGCCAGCATACCAACCTCAGCACTATTTGTATGTCAGGAACTCATGAGACCTGTGCTTCTCAAACTCTCATGGACATAAGAGTTACCCAGGCCTTTGCTAAAATGCAGATTCTGAGATTCTGGAGGACCTGGCCAACTGCATCTCTAACACACTCCAGGGATGGTTGTGCCCATGGCCCTGGGGAGGTGACACAGATTTGGAGCAGTGGTCACCTACTGCAACAGAATGTGTCTTCCAATAGAAGAGACCTTTTAAGATATTGATAAGGAGGGGTTAAGGGGAGAGGAGAACCAGGGCAGGGTGGGGTCATGCAGCCCAGGAAGATAAAAGCAGAGGACCGTGTTGTTGAATGCTGCAGAGGGGCCAGGCCACGCCAGAGCGAGGGAAATCCCACAGATGTAGCTACAAAGGGATCCTTGTGATACTTTTTTTGGAACACTTCCTAGATCAGTTTCAGTAGAGTGGCTAAACACAGATATTATATCCTGAATAAATTCAGGCTTTAAACAGGAGAAGACACACAGTGAGACTCTCTTCCCACAGCATTTGCTAAGGCAACACCAACTCCAATTACACTGAAATTCTAGTTTCCAAATAGTTGATGGCTGTTGGGGATGTACAGCATCGGAGCCAACATTGTCCCCTATGTGTTTCTGAAACCACCCTGAAAGTTGTGTTGGTCTCAGGCACTATGTCATGGCTTACTGTCTTAAACTAGGAGAGTCTGACATCCAGTTCTAAGGCTGTAATCCCTCTCTGTTACACCTCATGGGAAAAGGGTTTGTAGGTCATGATAGACACTGTATGGAGAAATAGGTACTCAATTCCTTAGGAGGGCACTCTCTCAAAAGGTCTGTAGTTATTGATCAAAAATTAATTTTATAGCTTTCACATTCTTATCAGATCAGATGTATTAGAAGATTAAGGTCTTGATGATGCCATCCTCTTCTTGCCACGATAAATTGAATGGCACTTGAACTGTAAAATGAGCAGGGGAGAGAGCAGAGTTTTAGGCTTACCTGGTCCACTGTTCACTCCTATTCTTTTCTCCTTGACTTTGGAGGAAAGGTAGGATTTGTTAATAAGAATGTTTTCAAAATTTATTTTTAAAGTTAAACTCTAGCTTTCTAGTATGAGTTTTTTAAGTAAAACAACCAATTTTCCCATGAGTTTGCTACTGAGAAAACACTGAATGGGAAGATTTGGGGGAGCATTTAAGGCTGATGGGCTGACTTCTCACCCCTCCCTGTGTAGCCCTAGGTCCCACCTGCCCTGGGACACTTCTCTGTGGTCCTGCAAGATCACAGCTCCTTTGTCAGCCCCTGGAGCTCTCACCCACAGCTCTGAACGACTAAGTGACTTGTCATGTGCCAGTGGACATGACATTTCTGGAGGGCAGAAATGATGTCTATCCAAGTAGCCACAGCCTGTGCCATGTGGTGGCCTGACACATAGTGGACAGTTGACACGTGTTTGTTGAATGACTACTCCAAAGGTGGCAACCTTCCACACAGCTGGGGATTGGGGGAGGGTGGGAAATGCGCTCAGAGGCTGGTTCACCTGCTCCTACCACTCTGGTCTTTGGGATGGTGCCTTCAGGTACCTACTGAGCCTATCTTCAGGTACCTACTGAGTAATCTTTTAAAGCATTTGAGATTACCAGTGCTTCTCAAACTCCAATGGACATAGGAATTACCCCTGACCTTGCTAAAATGCAGATTCTGAGATTCTAGGAGGGCCTGACCATCTGCATCTCCAACATGCTTCAGGTCATGGTTGTGCCCACGGCCCTGGGGAAGTGACACAGATTCAGAGCAGTGGCCACCTATTGCAACAGACTGTATCCTCCAACAGGAGGTCCCCTTTAGTTTCAGAAGCACTGGCAAAATGCTCAAAAGGGTAATCTCTGTTTAAGCATTTTACGAATAAAGAATTCATTAATGAAAAATTAACTTGTACTAGGCACTTTAAAAACCATCAAAATGTCAAAGTGTAATTGTAACACAATTCTGATTTAACGCCGAGTATGAGTGGTGTCAGGCCCTACTCTGGTCCTGATTCCCTTCCTTCTCCTTTTCCAGGGACCCAGTTCTGCACAGGTGCATGTCTCAAACTAACTCCGGTCTTCCCAGCATCAGCACTGAAGTTCTAATTGCAAATTCTCAGTTTTATTGGCCTACGAAATCTAGTCTTTTCAAACTTCTGAAGCCTCAAATATACACTTTACCAATGCTTTTATGCAGCCCTGACTGTCATTCACCATGACTGCGGAAACACATACACATATGCAAACCCTCGGGAGACCTGGTCTTCCTTGCTGCTTAGCTGAGGGCACTCTGCATGGGGTCTGTGGCACAGAAGGATATACCGTCTAGAACTTGCAGCAGCATGCCCTGGTGGCTGCTTTGGGATTATTTTACACAACAGAGATCTATTAAAGGGCCATGTTCCCTGGAGGAGTTCTCCCATCATTCCAGGTGGTTTCCTCCAGGGTTGCCCTGGCTCTGCTAGTATCAAATATCCTCCCAGGGCAGCAACTATGGCCAAGAGCCATTCCTCTTTGACAAGCTGCCTCGTTTTCTGCAGCTTACCTATAACACACTTACCGAATGTGGGAGTTACAGAGTGTGGGTCCCCCCACCCCGGGAAATGCCCCTCCTTCTAGACTGCTACGTCGTTCATTGGGTACTATTATTTCTCATCTTTTCTCACCTTCATTCAACAAACATTTACTGATCTAAAAAGGTGGCAAGACAACTTTTACCTATATACCTATTCCACTTTATATTTGAATAAAAAGAAAAATATTTCCCTTCAAATTTGCTGAGTAGTTAAGTAATTGATATGGAAGATGTATGCGGCAATCTTGGGGAGTTTGTTGTAAGCAATTTGAAATGTTTTCTACTGCTGGTGGAGTATAATTTGCTATAACCGTGTTGGAAGATGTTTTGGCAATATCTATCAAAGCTACTAAAGTGACCAGTACCCTCTGACCCAGCAATGCCACTCTGAGGTACCCAATAGAAGTGCACACAAAAGTTCACCAGGGACACGTGGTACAAGATTCATAAACTTGTAACTGCGAGAAAAGGGAAAGAACCCATATGTCCATCGGCGGTATGTCCATCGGCGGTAGAATGGACGAACGTGGTGTGGTATTCTCCTATGATGGAACTGTCCCAGCTATGGGATGCAAGAAATACAATTTTACAGCACAGCATGGAAAAATATCAACACATAATGTTGAGTGAAAGAACCCGACCCAAAGGAGTACCTACTGGATGATTCTGTGTAAGCAAAATTCAACAGCAGGCAAAGTCGGCCCATTGTGTTGGCCTTAGGATGGTGGTAGCCTTGTCCCAGGAGGCAGCACAGGGCGCTTCTAGGGTGCTGGTGTGGTCAGCTGTCCTGATCTGGGTGCCACTTACAAAGGGCTAATTGGTTTGTGATATTGGCCAAATTGCACACCTTTGACTGTTGTTTTTTTTTTTTAATTTAATTATACTTGAAAATTTACTTGAAACATTTTTAGAAAGCTGCTCCCTCTGAGCAAAGCTGCCTGGGCAGCATCAAATTCCCAGTCAGGAACCCATGTTTTTAGAAGGGAGTTGTGGTGAGGTTCTGAGGAGTGCATAAATGGGAGGTGCAAAAAGTGGGGTGCTTGGTGCAACTGGATTTCTTATGGAGAGCGGCCAAGGGTGGGATGTGTGCATTGTGTGGGCACAGGGATCTCAATAACTGGCCCCAGAGCAGGAGCAGAGAAGGCATGAAGGCCCGGACTCTTCTGAGCTTGAGGTCAGGGGATCTACCTGCACATTAGAGTTATTTAAATGAGGAAAATGCATGCCCTTCTTGAATCAATGTTGCCAAGCCTTTCTTTTCCTAGGAGAATCTTTCGATTCCCAGCATGGGGAAAGCATGTTTTCAGGTATTAAAATGAGTAAGGTTGTCACAGTAACCATGAACCAACATGTCCCCATTCTAAATTGAGTATGGTGATAACAAACCCTATGACCTGTGCCTAGGAACACTTGTTTCAAACTTCAGACCCCTCTCGAGTTACACACGAAGCATGGCTGTGGGCATGCATCTCCCTCCGCATAATGTGCTACCGTTTAAAACTTAAAGTTATGGCCATCCATGTTGTCCTGATAATTATAAACTTTCCTGATGTCATTCCCCATTCCAGTTCTGCAATCCCAGGGCCAACCAGTCCAACTAGCCAGCAAAGACACCTGCCTGCTGCTGCATGATGGCATTGGCTGAGTTTGAGGAGGGCACACAGGAAGTTCCAGGTGCCATCCACGGCCTCCGCGTAGGTAAGTCACTGGGTCCTGAGAGCAGACCGGGATATTTTCAGGGAGCTCGTGGATGGGAATGTGAAGCCGAATGTTTCACTATACCTTCAGGAAGGCTTCCAGGAACCCCTTGAGATTCAGAGACCTGCGAGTCACTCTCCCATACTGCCATTGATTATAGAATCTATTTTGAAGAGATGGAATAGCTAAAATATTAGATGATGATAAATATAACATCTTAAATCCAGTAGAGGACAATAAATGTATGTTAAAAGGAATTCATAAAAATAGCAGCCATTAACTGGATATTTACTTTGTGTAGGCAATGTGCTTGGCGTTTTCACAATAATCCTGGCAGTTAAAATGAAATTTAAATAATCCTTATTCACAGGACTACAGTGAGGTTGAGAGATCATGCCTGTAAAGTGCCTGGCTCACTTTTCTGATACTTTTGTCTGAACAGAGTCTTGGTGATATTTTGACTTGTGATATTTTTTGAAGCCATACTAAATTTTCATGTGAACTTAAAGAATAATACAAATAATACAAATAAAAGTTGCAGTGTTTCATTATTTCTACACAATGTCCTTCTCTCAAAAGCTGATATTTATACAGGTACTAACAATACATTTAAAATTTTTTGTAATGTCAGAAAAATAACAAAACATAAACACATTGATTAATACTTTAAGTCTATTGGACATGGAAACTGTAGAAGAGAATGGATTTCCCAATCATCTCAAAGTCAATGGTTCCTTGTTATAAAAAGTTAGAAATACAGATTAAAAAGAAATAGTTTTTAAAAAGTGCTAAATGTCTAATATTAAGAAACCGTTAAAAATTATTGCATATATAGACATAAAATTGAGTACTCTAATAGTTAAACATCATGTATTTTTAAATGTTTTAATTTATTTATTATTTATTTTAGAGATAGGGTCTCACTGTGTCACCTAGGCTGGAGTGCAATGGTGCAATTACAGCTCACTGCAGCCTTGAACTCCTGAGCTCAAGTGGTCTTCCAGCCTCAGCCTCCTGAGTAGCTGGGACTACAGGCATGTGCCACTATACCTGGCTAATTTTTAGGCCTCAAGTGATCCTCTTGCCTTGCCCTCCAAAGTGTTGGGATTATAGGTATGAGCTACTGTGGCCAGTGTAAACATCTTTTAAAATATTAAATGGTATAGGAAATATCTCAGGATATACTGTTAATGAGTAAAAACACATACTAATACATTAATAATCATTATTTCTAGATGACAAAATTCTGTGAGCCTTTTATTTACTATACCACGTTTTTCTATATTTTTATAGTATTCCAGAGTGCCCATGCCTTACTTTTTACACTGAGGCTGTGAAATGTGAGAACACAGGGAGGAACCTGGTTTTGGCACCGCTGTGAGCAGTGCTTCCCACCCTGGCCACACGTTAGAGTCACCTGGTAGCGTCCAAGCCCCTGCTACCATGGCTGTGCCCATCAAAGTGTCGGGTGGGGCCTGGCTTGGCAGCAGCTGCTCAAAACCCCCAGCAGACTCCAGGGCTGCTGCAGGAAGGCAGCCACCTACTTTCTAGAGGTCTGTGGGTTTTGGATGGGACTTGAAACCGTATCAAAAACTCCCAAAGCCCAAACACAGCCCCACTTCCTATCAAATCACCTTGGCATCTTTGTCAAAGCTAAACATTCAGGGATGTTTGTATCAGAATTAAAGTTCTGTGCACTCATAGGGCAAGAGTGTTGAGCAAAAGCTAGAGTTCTAAGCTATGTTTTTGGATCAAATAGTGAATCTAATTGAGACTGTCAATGATTTTTTTCCTTATCGATCCTCTATTGAAGGAGGTTCATTGAAAAAACATTGGAAATGTGAAAAGAATGTGGTTACTTGTCTGTGGCGGAAAACATCACATTTGTTCACATCAAAGATCGAGGAACCAAAACCACCCTCCTGCAAACACATGGGAGAGGGAAAGAGCCGTCAAGTGTTTTCAACTCTATATTTCACTGGGGGGGGGAAAAAAGAAGGAAATTTCCTGGGTGCCAGGTGATTTGACTAGGACATTTTTGTGGGATTACTGAGGCAACAGCGTGTTTACTGAAAGTGTGCTATGTAGCAGACACTCACATAGTCTCACGCGGTTAACACGACCATGAGGCAGAGCTGGCAGGCTTGGCAGCGTTGGGTCATTATCAGAATGTTTAGGGAAGGGAGTTGTTTTCATTCACGGAACTTTCTATTTAACAGAAGGTTAAGGAACAAAACCTCTTTCCAAGGTGACTTTTGAAAAACTTCCTACAACATACAGGAATCGCTGCTCCCCTGGCAGACAGCCTGTCGGTGCCTGTCATCCAGTGTCCGGTACAGACGTCTCCTCCTTTTCATTCTCAAAAGTGTCCTTGTGTGGAGGGAAAATGATATGGTCACTCTGAGTCTAAGGGGATAATTTAATCTTCCTTGATGACTATCTCTGGATCATCAAGATAAGGTTGATTCCCATTATAAAAGACAAAGACTGGAACCCGGGAATCGGGGGTTGCACTGGCACTTGACTGTAAGGCTGTTTGGGATAAAGAAAGGTGCACAGGCCTGGAAGTCGGGGGTCTGGGATTCCAGTCCCTGCTCTACCAGTGGCTACCTGGGTGACCTTGGCCAGTTACAGAAACCCTCTGACAGCAATTCTACAAACGCACTGCCTACAAACGCACTGCCTGCAAACGCACTGCCTCGGTATCATAGGGCAGTGGGATTCCCATCCAGCATTTCCTTCTTGTGCATTGCATTCCAATACTGATCTCCAGAGGCCGGCAGAAAGACCTTTCCTTGCGTCACAGGAGGCTGCTGAGGCTCGGCCAGCCACTCCACAGGGCCTTCTGAGGGGGCAGCCATGGCCCTCAGGCCACACTTCCCATCTACCACGAGATCAGCCTCCGGCCACACTAGGCCTGATTCTGAGGCCGTGTCTAGGCGATGTGAAAACTCTTGATTGAAAGTGACCACCCTAGCTAATCATCTGTTTGTTTTGACTCCAAATTAAGGGGTTTGAGCAACGTGCCACCCCTGGCAGCTGTCTCAGTCGCCTGGCTGCTGTGTGCTCATGGTTGACCTGAGACTTTTCACCCACCACACAGGGCATGAACTTCTGGAATTTGAAATGCTTGGGCAGGTGAATGACCCTGAGCCACCGCACTCATCAAATCATTACTGAACCACCCTTAAATCATGTGGCTATCAAAGTGAGTCACGATGAGACCTGAAGGGGCGAGACGCCGACTGCAGAACCTGCTGTCTAAGCTGGGTATCGGTTTGCAATGGGGGCCTCTGTAGGGGGACCTTGCTGTCCTGCTGCCAGTGAGTCCCGTGTGTCACTTAGCGAGGGCGTCATGGGTGAGGTTGGGTAGCCCAGGTGTCTGCCTCAGTCACGCCAGGAGTTCCAGTCCCAGCTCTGGTACCCATCAGCCGGAGACCTCAAGCCCATCATGTAATCCCACCCTGGGACCCCACCCCGGGACCCCACCCCACATCAGCCATCAGTCAGGTGGTGACTCCTGGTTAAACGAGATACTGCAAACAGTGCCGGCACACAGTGATATAGCAGCAAAGGGATATGTTTCACCTCCTTCCTGTTTCAAAAAGGTTTCCATTAATTGGCATCATCATAAGCCCTCCTAAATGTGGTATTTACACGTCATTTATCTGGTGGGCTACTGACACAGAAGGACGGGTCTCTACAGACGAGCTGGCTATCATAACATCCAAACGCTCCTCAGGTGGGTGCTCACCTGTGCGCCAGATATCTCATCTTAGCTCACTTAACTGAGCCCACTCACTCCCGAGCCCATGCCAGCTTGCTACATGTCAAGTCCAGGAATTCATTTCTATAGGATTTTATTCAGTCTAGAGAGTAACATGATTTTTAGTGTTTTTTAGACAGTATTTTGAGCAATTTAAAACCTCTTAATATAGTCACTGCTGTGTTTTATTCAGGAAGCCTGGTGGGTTCTCCTTCGAGCCTGTCTAATCAGTGGCACAAACAGTCTCAGGGAACTGGAATCCAAGTCTGATAAATAAAAGGTGTGAGGTTTAGAGAAAAAAAAAAAGAAAAAAACAAAACGTCTAGCAAGCGAGATGAAACCTGCCTCGCTGGGCAGCTGCTCTGAAACCGGTTACTGTGGATTGCAAATCATACCCTGGCTGATTGAGCCCTAAACCACAAAATGTCTAAAGAATGAAGCAAAACACTTTAGTTCTAGTGCACTTTGGTGTAAGAAGGAGTCCATTAGAGTTAGAGGACTCAGCGGGCCAGGCAGACAGAGCACACACCACGCGATACCCAAACCCAGCTGGCAGGGTTTCTTGGGAAGAGTGCAGTCAGCTGTCTGCTAGCATTCAGCGATTCCAAATCCAATTTCTATGGTTTCTGAATCAGTTCCTGGGATATAAATGGAAGGGGGAAAAAGCAACAATGATGCTTCCAAGAATAAAAGCAGTTGCAAGTCTGGAAAATCCCCAAAACTCCATTCGCTGGAAGGAAGCTTTTCTGAAGGCACTTGAATCCCCTTCATTTCTGCATAGTGTCAATGGAAAATGAAATCACTCCCATCTTGGCCCTGAAATGCTTCTCCAGCGACTTCACACCTGGGCCCAAGATCTGCCAGGGGCCAGCTGGTCATTGTGCAGAGGCTGGTGGCTAATGGCCAGCGAATGGCAGGAGAAAGGAGAGCGGGGCTAAAATCGGTCCCAAATAAAGCATGAAAAGCAATACTTGAAATTCTACTTCCGGATCCGAACAGGAAACAGAATGGAAACCCAGTAAATCACAGACTGGAAAGTTGCTTTGCTCCCTAATTCCCAGTCACACAGTCTCCTATGAACTTCCTGGTTTTGGACACATGCTAATTGAGTTATAAATAATTTAATGATCGTAAGACATTTAACGTGGGAAACAAAAGCCTGTAAATCATTGGGGTCAGTGCCAATGAAAATTGGGGGCTTTGCCCAGCCTCTGTCCACCTTTCACAGTGTGTGGGGTGGGACGGCTGCCCCATGTGCGAGGACGCCCCGCAGACTGGGCAGGCTTGGCTGCAGCAACCCGGATACACGCTTCGCTTTATTGATCTTTTCGGGTTAGCAGTGATCAAGTCACAGAGACATCTAAGTCTGCAGAGACCCCTTTTCTCTCTTTTTGGCTATATTCCTTTTGGCACAGAATAAATAAATACAAAAAGAAAACAGGTATTTATATTTTCCATGATGCTGCTTTTAAATCTACTAGGTCTAGAATTTTATAGCATGGGGTATATTACATACTCTTTTAAAAATAAGGAAAATTTTCTAAGTTAACAAAAAGCTCAAAACTTGTTCTCCCTGGAAATTCTCATAAAATTCCTAGGAATCTCCCCGCTTCTTCCCTCCCCAGCAGTATCTCATCATGTGATGCCTCATAACAACATACACTGTGTGTTTATGCTAGTACCTCTCACATTGTTTTCTTTCTGTGCCTCCTCATGTACTTTCTTACTTGGTTATCCGGATAACCTTCTCAGCATGGAGAGGTCGCCTGCCAGAGGGAACACAGAGCAAATGCACAACCAAGCAGCCCAGAGCTCCCTCTTCTTCTGAAGTCCAGTGGAGAACTGTTTTGGAACTCATTCAAAAGGAGATGGGCTTTATATTTTTGTTTTCATTTGCTGAAATACCAAACAGTCCCTTTTGTCATGGAAATAAATGCAATCCTAGGCCCAAAGGAATGAAAGGATTTGTCCTGTGAGTCAAAAGTTTATACCTAAATCAGGAGAGGATATCCCTTTAAGAGCAAATTTGGAATTAAGCCTCTCTGCAAAGGTAATATTCTGACTAGCAATGACTCATATGGGAAAGCGAGGAAGGCTTTGAATTACTGCTTCAGAACCTGTCTTGTCTTGCTTTCTGCTTTGTCCCTG